GCCAGCCACGGATAAAAATGATCCGAAAAATGTTTTTGAGAAAATCGAACAATAGTGTAACCCTCGTCAAAACGAAGTTGCGGAAAGTCATAAATTTTGGCCTGTGAATTATTTCGACCCATTTGACCAATTCCTCACAGAGCTCAGATCTAGGGCATCATCATGTAACTTTGGTGACAAGGAGGAACGGATGATTCGTGACAAAATCGTTTTCACAGCTACTGGGAAAATGCAACAGCTGCTGCTTCGGGATGACAACCTGGATTTACGCAAGACAATCAAAATATGCCAATCCTATGAGCAGGCCAATAAACAGGCACAGGAAATGAAGACTAACTTGCATTCGAACAACCACCTGCACACAAAGGTTAACAGAATGAAATCAGACCAAGGAAAACAAAACAAGGCACAGGCACAAAAGAAGTTTGTAAAAAAGGATATTCAAAATGTGAAATCATGTAAATACTGTGGAAAATCACATGTCATGAAAAAAGAGGAATGTCCTGCCTGGGGCAAAACTTGTGGAAAGTGTGGCGGACGAAATCACTTCAAGGTTAAGTGTAAGAGGATACACCGTCTGGGTGCAGAAAGGGGAGGTCACTCTGAATCTGACTCTGATGACTGCTGGTTAAATGCAGTAAGAAATGCTGATAAAAAAGAGCGGATCACTGCTCGAATGCAGGTGAATGACTGTGATGTGCGTTTTCAACTAGACAGTGCTGCGGATGTAAACACTATATGCAAACGGTATGTTCGGCGTAAACAGGTACATGCATGCACGACAAAGATTCGCATGTTTGATGACAGTACTCTATGCCCTGAAGGTGAAGCAATGCTTAACGTACTGAATCCTAAGAGTGGAGAACAGCATAATGTAAGCTTTATTGTGGTCCCTAACAAGCTACAGTGCCTCCTAGGACTTAAAACAATTAGAAAGCTTGGATTTGTGACTGTCAATCAAGAAAAGTTCATTGGGAAGATTGAAACTACAAATCAACCAGGAGATTTGGGTGAGGTTACTCTAACTATTGACCCTGAGGTCAAACCCAGATTCCTGCCCTGTAGGAAAATACCCATCGCTCTTAAGGATCGTGTAAAGTCTGATCTTGACAACCTTGTTGAGAGAGGTATTCTGATACCAGTGACAAAGCCCACAGCCTGGGTCAGCCAGATGGCTGTAGTACACAAACCTAATGGCAAGTTACGAATCTGCCTAGACCCTCAAGGTCTTAACTCTGCCCTGCTGCGAGAAGGTTATGCCTTACCAACACTGGATGATGTATTACCTAAGCTACAAAATGCACGTGTATTCAGCAAATTGGATGTTAAAGAGGCATTCTGGCATGTCCGTTTAGACGAACAGTCTAGTGAACTAACCACTATGATCACACCTTTTGGTCGCTATCGATGGGCACGCCTACCATTTGGATTAAATGTATCCAGTGAAATTTTCCAACGCAAGTTAAACGAGGCTCTTGAAGGACTTGATGGAACATTCACCATTGCTGATGACATCATCATTGCAGGACAGGGAGAAACTGATGAGGAAGCACACCAGGATAATGACAGGAAACTGCAGGAGTTGTATAAACGTTGTGATGAAAGGAACATAGTGTTAAATGAAGAGAAGAAGGTGATAGGACTGAAAGAAATCACTTTCCATGGTCACACCATCACAAATGAGGGGGTGAAAGCTGACCCCAAGAAAATTACAGCTATCATTGATATGCCAAGTCCTGTGGATGTTGCAGGTGTGAAAAGATTTTGTGGTATGATTCAATACATGGCAAGGTTCTTACCTTGTCTGTCAACAATGTTAGAACCAATGAGAGCTCTGACTCGCAAGGACACTGATTTTAACTGGTCATCAGCCTGTGAAAATGCATTCCGAGAGGTGAAACAGAAGCTCACAAGCGCCCAAGTTCTTTCATATTTTGACCCTGGGAAGGAAATATGGCTGCAGGTTGATAGTAGCAAAGATGGACTCGGTGCCGTTCTACTCCAAGATGGGAAACCCATTGAATATGCGTCTCGGTCTTTAAATCCTTCGCAACGCAAATGGGCACAGATTGAAAAGGAAGCTCTGGCTGTACTATACGGTGTAGAAAGATTTGACCAATACACCTATGGACACAAGATCATAGTACAAAATGATCACAAACCTCTAGAGTACATTTTGAGGAAACCTATCAGCAGTGCTCCCCGTCGGTTGCAAGATATCATGTTAAAACTCTTAAGGTACGATATTGAGTTTAGATTCCTTAAAGGTGATAAACTTGTCATTGCCGATACTTTGAGCAGAGCAACGGTCGCTGACCCATCTGAAAACCGTGATCGTATCATGTCAGTGAGCGTAAACGACAACCTAAGTGATAAGAGACTTACTGAGATAAGGGAGGCTACTCTGGAAGATGAAGATCTACAATGTCTGAAGAACAATATCCGGGCCGGATGGCCAGATGAAAAAAGGGATGTTGAGGACTGTTGCAACCCCTTTTTCGACATGAGAGACAGTTTAAGCGTCTATGAAGAAATCATTGTTAAAGGAGAGGCAATAGTAATCCCCAAGGCCTTACGAGCTGATGTGAAATCTCGACTACATAGTTCGCACACCGGCTATGACTCAATGATGCGGAGAGCGCGGGGTACCGTCTACTGGCCCCATATGAACTCTGACCTCAAACAACTAGCTGAAAGTTGTGAAGCCTGTCAGGAACTTAAACCACGTACAACAAATACACTACTAAATCAACATGATGAAGGACAAGCCCCGTGGCAAAAGATTGGTTTGGATTTGTTTGAAATAAAGGACAAGCGCTACTTGGTCAGCATTGACTATTATAGTAACTTCATTGAGGTTGACCTCTTACAGAAAACTACTTCAACTGTGGTCATTGGCATCCTCAAGAAATAATTTGCGAGATTTGGCATCCCGAGGACCATAGTATCAGATGGTGGCCCCCAGTTCACCTCGAGTGAATTCAAGGCATTTACCTCAAAGTGGTGTATTTTTCACCAGACCTCCTCACCTCACCACCAGCGAGCAAATGGTAAAGCAGAATCTGCGGTGAAGGTGATTAAAAACTTAATGATAAAATGTGAGCGGAACAGACAGGACCAATTCGAGGCTTTGATGGAGCTGCGGAATGTTCCTCGACAGGACACTGGACTGAGCCCTAACCAACTTATGTTTGGACGTCAAACGCGCACTTTGCTTCCAGCATGGAACCAGGAGACAGGAATGAAAAGTGAAAAACGGGAAAAGCGGAAGAAATCGGTCAAGAAGTATTATGACAAAACAGCTCGAGATTTGCCGAGATTAAAGCGTGAACAAAATGTGTATTTCGAACACAAACCAAGAGAGGTGGAAACTCGGAAAAGTACAAGACGCCATTGGCGAGTACACATACAGAGTGCAAGCACAAAATGGTGCTACGTACAGAAGAAATCGGGTTCATATCAGACCCACTCGTGTGGAAGCCGTCATCCGCGATCAGTCACCTGTACGTTTGGAAAACAAAGTATCACTACAGACACCAACCAATTCCGGTCAAGATGAGTTTCATTTAGAAAGTAAACAAGATGTTGAGAGTTCTGCCCACGAGCAGATTCCGTCAGTTCCCCAATGTCCTGTGCGCGACCCAGAACAAACTGTTCCAAAAGTACACGTGGAAACACAATTAACGCGGCAGCCCAGTATCGCTGGACGTGAACACCGCCCAGTACGCCAACGAAAAGAACCTGGCCATTTGAAAGACTTTGTTCGTTACTGATTTTCATATTTGTTGTTTATAAGTTTGTGTTAGTAGTTTCTAGGTAGCCAAGTGACAATCCAGGACTCTGTGAAAAGTGACATTCTATTTTGCTCTAGTGGCAATTTAAATTTATTTTAGGTTCATGAACACTGGTAAAAAATCATTCATACATTTCCATTATGGTGAAAATTGACAGTCGATAAAGATATAATACGAACTGCATTTAAGCTTGTTAAAAGCGATGAATTTTATTACTCAATATTCTAGTCTTAAAATTTTGAGTCATTCAATGGTATGCTACACTATGTCAGTTTAATAATTTGTGTATGTCCATTTCATTTTGACACTGACAGTCATGTTCTTCTAAATAAGGGGGATGTTGATGATTGCGTCCCGTTAGTTTATATCATTCCTAACATTACATGTACCGACTGTGAAACCTCGTTATGAGATATAAACAGCTAAGATGGTAGTCCTTGCTTGTTGTTGTTGTCTGTGATCATGAGAACCCGTACCTATCTGTAAGAACTTGAAACGTTATCAACAAACAGTACACGATTAAAATTTTCGAACAGCGTTGAAGGTTTTTATCACAGTCAACAAGTAAAAAAATGGTCAAAAACTCTCCTAGATTTCACATGTTTGGAAATAGATTTACAATGTTACTGAGAATTTCCGTGGCATCGATATCGATGCCGCACCAATTTCACATTGATTATGAAAGCAAACCGAAAGTAAATAGTGGCAGTATAACGAATTTTTGTTTCTGTTAAGAATAACTATATTTTGTCATACTTAAGTAAGTTTTGTCCTTCATGTGCGTATTTCTGACAGAATGATTATGATATCACTGATAAGAATTTTATCTACGGTTACATGTAATGGCTGTGTAGTTTCGTTGTATTTCTGCTGAGAATATTTCTGACAAGACATGTTTTTTTGTCTTACAAGAGCATATTTCTATTAAGATAATTATGATATGTCTCACTTTATCATTTTTGACTTACAGGTGCGTATTTCTATCAAGATAATTATGATATGTCTCACTTTATCATTTTTGTCTTACATGTGCGTATTTCTATCAAGATAATTATGATATGTCTAACTTTATTATTTTTGTCTTACAGGTGCGGATTTCTATCAAGATAATTATAATATGTCTCACTTTATCATTTTTGTCTCACAGGTGCGGATTTCTATGAAGATAATTATGCTATGTCTCACTTTATTATTTTTGTCTTACAGGTGCGTATTTCTGCCTGAGTATGGTGATGATCACAATGTCAACAGTCCTCTCAACAATTGTAGCCAACATGTTTTTCCGCGGAGTAAGGATTAACAGGGCGCCCGCCTGGCTGAGAAAGGTCGGTATCCGCAATTCAGCCTTTTAACTATATATATCTTACCACCAACAGAGAAAATACTAAAAAAAAACACGTTAAGTCGATAACGTCTTCCACACAATGTTTCTTACAGAGTCGTGATGATGTTTAAAAAATTTAAACATCCATTTCATCTGTTTTGTAATATTTTTGACAATATCCAGAAAGTTCGAGACGGCCCAAAGAGAAGCTGCCCGCATAATACCACGACGACCGTCATGTGCCCGCATTGAAGCTTAGTATCATGAAACGTGTCTGTGAATTATTATTTCAAACCTAAGAAACTGAGGGAAACTGCAACTGTTATATAAGAAGCATAATAATTTGACTTATGCTCCATGACGCTTTTATTGGAGAAAATAACCTTACGAAACATTACAGACTAAATGACGCATTCATTTTCACTATTTTGCGAACTCTTCTTTTACACATTCTGTCTTTTATATATTAAGAATGCCTTTAATAAACTGCTTTCGTTATATTCATTCAAATACGCATTAACTACAGATGCAAAGGCAACGCCCACCCATCTATTAAATGTTGAAGATCGCTATTTCATATTTTGCCTCGGAAGCTCAGACACCAGCGTCCATATATAGCTCCAGAGATCACGACCTTTGCAAAGCCAATCCTGTTGATTTTTACATGTAAGATTCCAGCAAGTATGGACATTTATGTGAGCTGTCTTTCATCCTTTTTGAGAGACAATCATTATAAACAAATCAAAGGGGTGTTTGGTATATATAATTGTGATGCTTTTAAGTTCGGCAAACTTTAATCCAACTTTTTTTTATACCGTATATGTGCACCAATAAATCATATCCTGCCATTGTTTATTCGCTTATGAGAGGACCAATGTGGGCCCATGAAGAACCGAAGGTTTTATTTTAGATATCTGCCTCCTGCTTACGGCGAGTTGAAGAAGACTAAATTTATCTGCTGCCCCGATTGTTACACTTGAAACGGCTTTCTTTTTATTGCTTTTATTATTCACTTTTTCGTTTTGGAGATCTTACCGCAGGCACCCCTACCGTCACTGTACCCAGATCGGGACAGTACTCAAAACGGGACACTTGTGGTCAAACGGTCCCAGAAACTGTCATTCAATGCAAATAAGTACATGTACTTTTATGCATACAGTTTTAATTTGATGACACTTTTAATGACAATTTGTTTGCATTAAGCTTTATTGGCTGCTGGTTATCGTTACATGGACAATATAAAGGTACTAATAATTATCAAAACAAGATTTTCCTGAATTTACATTAATGCGACGCTATTTATTTGGATATCATTTTCAAAAGTCTATTTTGTCTAAACTAATGCTTGTTTGGAGAAGAAATTTAATCAGAACCCTCGCTGACTCTAGAATATTACAACTATGCATATTTTCTGCCGATATTGATCGTTTATCTCCAAATATCCGCCAAAATACTGAAAGTGTCCCTTTCCGGGTACAGTAACGACGGTGCAATGGCCTCCGTATAACTATGATGGTATTTCACGTTCTTTTTTTAGAACCACGCGCCAGAAATATCAAATATCGGACAGAAATGAAAAATGGATAGTATTTATTTATGAAAAATGAACAAACGTTTTAGGAACTGATAGTATGGTAATTTATTTATTGATATTTATCTGAAAAGTGTCCCGGTTTGGGTACAGTGACGTTATAGTTAGCCCGTTGTCCGATGTGAACAGATCAAGTGCGGTGCTACATTTGTACCGTGTCTGGTTGGAGACATTTAAGAACGGAACGTCACTTTAAAAAGTAGCGCTTATAATTAGTGTGCCCTCATTTGTGGACACCGTCGTTGTGTGACTTTAGGTGCCATTGGACGCAAAACACTGAACGAACAAACAAATGTATCCGACAATGGAGTCCAAACTCTCTAGTGAAAGAAGAGCCGTTTTACGGGCGATAAATACCACGCAATTGCACGTAGAATGCGCTAGAAAGAACGTGAGGATTACTAAGTCCATTTAGCCAAATATACATAGTGACAGCATTTCCATCGCCGATACGCAGGAATAACCGAATAATAGGTCTTTATTGACACAGAACAGAGTTAAGACTTAGGGAACCCCGTACCACTGCCCACACCTGCATTGGAGACAGTCTTCCAGCGTACTACATGTATAACTTTGGATAAATCATTTCTTGTAAATAAATATTAGCATTCGATGCGGGACTTAATGAGAAAAAAATACACAGATATTTAAACAAAATTTAGTCAACAACAGTTTTCTATGCGTAAACAATTAGCGGGGTTAGACTGGTATTTGAACCCTGGACTTCGGTTTATTATTATGTTGCTCTAACCGACTGAGATAGCTAGTTAACGTAAGTGGGACAGGGATCCTAACGTGTACAAATATACCTTACATAGTCTTTAAAAAAATAAACAAATAAGTTCAATGCAGGAGAGGGATATTTACACGTTTACCTGAATTATTATACATTCGAATTGTAATAATTATTCATGTTAATTGCTGTTATTATATCTTTTTACATTTATAACCATAACAATCTCCAAAAAAAAAACTGTTCGGAGAGACAGAAAATGAACTTAAGATATTTCATTCTGAGTTCAAGGTTGCTTCTACCGAACAGATTTCGCGGCTTGTCTATGAAATAAATGACAGAACGATAAAATATCCGACATTTCTATGTAAAATCTTTAATGGCAAAGCCGACCTGACGTTTTTTTTAAATAACACAACTTTGTCATACTTTGTTGTTTGGTATTTACACTAATTAACCTTCAAAGAAACGAAAGAATTTTTTTTTTTTTATATTGTAATTAATTTAACCGTCGATATCAAACTATTTAGTTTTTAAATCACATAAGTACCTTATCACAGCGACATAGTTATTGTCTGATGTCAGTTCGTATGCATTGTATCTTTCTCAGCTTAATGTATGTTGAACAAATTACTTTCTTGTGCAATGATGTAAAATAAAACAACTACGAAAACACAGCTATGACGGACATGGAAACCTGCGGCATTGTTTTTACGTATTCCTCCTTTTTACTGTATAATAATGGATTTCCTAGAGCAATTGTTCAAACAAGAGCAACAAGATATACTGTGCTTTAAAACAAATACGAAAACACGGCTATAACGCACATATAAAGCTATGCCATTCTTTTCTAAATTGTTCCTTAAATATTTGTCTTGCTTACTGCTGTTAAACATGGATTTCATGGGACACTTTGTTATACAAGGACAACGGGATACTGTATTATAAAACAACTACGAAAACACGGCTATGTCGCACATGTAAAGCTATGCCATTGTTTTTGTACAACGTTCCTTAAACTGTTTGTTTTGCTTCCTGTATAAATGGATTTCCGGGGACTCTTTGTCATACAAGGGCAACAAGAGACTGTTTTATTAAACAGATAACCTGAACATGTACGAAAACATGACTATGGCGTACATGTACAGCTATGCCATTATTTTTGTACATCGTTCATTAAACATTTTGTTTTATTACGGTATAATAATGGGGTTTTCCGGAACACCTTGTTAAAAAAGGAGCAACACTATCCTGTATCTGCCGTTCTGTTTCATAGATGCCCTCCCAATAGCACAAATTACACTAGAAATCGGTACTTAGCGGCTCCCCCTGACCTTTCCATATACTTCCTGAAATAAACAAATGGCTAACTCTCTCATCTAAAAATGTCACATCATGCATTTTATATGAAATTGGATCAGACCGATATGGCAGGAGAAATTAATTATGTATCTCTTCCACTATTCTAACTGTTTCTATATCCATCTTACGTTCATCTTTGAAGATAATATGTTGTAGACTTTGGCCATCTTAGTCCCTGAGGTGCCGTAACTAGCTTTGGTAGCCGCAGTAATCTCTTATGAGTAGTGGCACAGTTCATGATATTATATACACACTTAACTACATGTAACTGTTTAATTTGAAATTGAGACCAAGTTTCATCTTTGGCATGTTGTATATCTATAACCAAGATTTTAAAGGTGTAACCCTCTGGCGGTGTTACGTTCATCTTGGATTGAACGTCTCCAATCAAAAATTTTGTTTTCTCTCTTTTCACACATCATTGATTGCCTCTCGTAATCATCGGCTAGCTTTTGCTGCAATTCATTGATCGCTTCGTTATAGTTCACTTACACTTACGCTTAATTTTGGTCTAATTTTTACTTCAACCGAGAACAGTATTTGTTTTAATTACAATCATAGGATCTCTCATATCACGCTCCTCGCTCGTCCGATAATGCCTTGATTTTTTTGGCGCCAATTTGCAGGTTATGACTAATCTTCTCATCGTATCGAATACCGCTCTTTACCCTACATTCCATACCTCTCCCCCGCTCAACTGCCAGCGGGCTGGCGCTTGAAGCCTGCAGTGGTGCACGTCACAGCGCGCGCTGTCATCACGTGAGGAAGGCGCCACCTATATCGTGCCATTGGAGGTGTTACCGTCCCTTACAGTGTCTAATTGCTTTACACTCTGCCCTAGGTGTTTTTTTTATACTATTTCAAGAACTTAGAATTTAAATGAAATTAGTTCACGTGATTCTTGATTCCTGCTTTATCCTGTGTTCTGATGATAGCAACAGCTTGTTTAAGCCCGTAACAATAACGATTTTCCGGAGCTTGTTTCTGAGAGATCAGCCGTTGAATGTATCTGATGCGTCCAGCCAATGATTACTTTGATCATGTTGCATTCTTCAGATTTCGGATTTTGTTTTATGACGTTACACGACTATTATGGGATGTGATCGGTGGGGCCTGGTGTCTAGACGGTGCCACGTGGTTTATATATTTTCCCAGTGGCGAGGCGTAGCATGCCTCGCCGGGGAACGCCAATACACACATCAATTTTCACGGTTTTACATAGTAATTTTGTGCGTGTTGTGATGCTGTGTCACAGAACAGCCATATACGCTAGTATACCATGTAATTTACGGCTAGTGACGGGAGTGCGGAAAAAAAACACATTACACATTTAGCTTCCTGCGTGTGCAACGTATGCAAATTTCTTACCTCTATAGCATCAAACCTTTGCAGCGTTTTCTGTAAGCTTTATTGTAAAATTTCATGGCAAAACAGGTTTTATTTTAGAAAATAAAAAGATAAAATATTAATGATTTACAGTTAAAAACAGCCCGTAAACATCGATTTGATTTGGCTTCAAAACACTACTTGCATACATGATATTTCCTATACTTTGGCCGTCTCAGTCACAAAGACGGTTGATGCCAAACACCTTGGTGACCTGGATTTTCTATTACTACATATATAGTAATACACCAAAATAATTCCCGTTGCCGTTATTTGTTATCCGGAAACATAACTATGACACTGATGGGATCTTTACACGCATCGATAAATCGTATAGTTGAAAAATATTATCACAATCAGAAAAAAAATGGCTTCAAAAGTCGGAACCGAATTGTCTCCTCGTAAAGAATTAAAAAGAATGTGTTAACATTCATGACAGTATGAACGCAAATTTGTGATAACTTTCGGCATTATTACTATAAAAGCGATCAAAAACAATTATATTTCACCAACATCCGACAATCTACCTAAGCGATGGACTTCATTTACTTACTGTGTAACAGTATTTCTTGGGGTTGTGCCTGTGACATTTTCACATTACAGGCGCCGATACGACACTAAATGTCAACAGACAGCGCCGTTTAGTTCTTGTCACTGTGCTTAATGCGTTTCCTCCATTGTCGCTTTCAGTTCTCCTGTATCACTGCAAGCACGTCCAAACATCAAAGCTACAATGCATGACAATTGTATGTAAGAAAGACATTATTGGTGGAAACTGTCGTTATCCGATGGTTTTAGGGCTAACATAATACATCTCTTTCTGGAGAGAATGGCCATATAACTTCGCCATTTACTGAGTTACAACGAGCTAGGCCATTCATGAGGTCCCGCAGGCAGACTTTCAGTATATTAGAAGGCGTAGCTCTGGTATATAGACTTCTCATCCCGCATCATTCTACGTGTTGTGATCATCGATTTCCACACAGTAGAGTCTTTATGATGTAATAATAATTTACTGCATTTGGGAGAACGAAAAAAGAGAACAAATATTCCATAAACCTGAAGTGCGTATATATGTATTGGAAAGCGGAGCATGAATCAGAGATCTACTAAATGCTTCCACTCCGATGTATTTACACGAGCCCTACAGGTCTGATAAGCACCTAAATTAGTGTTGCTATTGTTGTCTCTACCTTGATTAACGGGATCGCATGGTACAGTTGGTAGTGCGTCAACCTTTTGACCGGGAGTTGGTTTTTTTTTTCTCACCTTATCTTAATTGGGTGGAGTTTGATATGATCTAGGTTGGGTATTATGGTAAGATCGACAATATAATTATCAGAAGAGTTCCGAAGTAAGGACCAAAAATATGTATTTAATTTAAGAACGTAAGTGCTAAATTGTATTAGGCCAGCGTTCTCTGTGATAAAAAGTTTGGAATTAACACAAGAAAACGATAACATAATTCTGATTAAGTCATGTGCATATAGCTATACGGGACTCGGTAGGTAACTTTATTAAAAAATATACATTTCAAGGGAGGCAACTCTAAAACAAATTTACAGGTGGATTATGTAAGATACTTGCAGCATATGTCCTTAAGTACCGCATTCTCTTTCAGTGACCCGGAATTTTATTTGTTTATTTTTTCCCAAGAAAATTAATCCTTGGGGAAAATGTTCGATTTAAGCAAGCTTCGCCATAATACAGTACGCATTATATTTTTTTTCCTTAAATGGTTTGTTTTTATATTTCAGTTCATGATAGACATCGTTGCCAGGGTATTCATGATTCGGGACAAACTGATTGAAAAGCAAGCGGAGCCTCCACAAAAGAACAGCTGGAACATCAAATACACCGGTGGCGCAACGTCTAAACTTCCGGAAACGGAAATGAAATTCGCCAAAGTGAGATTACTGGACGAAGGGAAAGAGGATGGTTATGAGCAAAACAACAAAGATTGTAATATCGAGAGGCTCAACATCATCCGCTCAAGTCTGTCCGAAGACATCAGGATCATCCGCGAGATCCTAGAGGCATACCGGGACAAGAAGGCTAAGGCGGAGCAGAAGGAGAAATATATCCGCGAGTGGAAGATCATCTGTTGTATAACAGATCGCTTGTTCTTTTTGATGTACTTGATCATCAATATAATTGGTATCGTTATTATTTTCTTCGGTAAGTAATGGACGCGCTGTGTTCAAGGAATTGCAGCAATACTAAGCAACATTTTATATCATTTGGTCTATTGGTTCGGAAAGACGGGATGAGACGGTTGTGTCTCTATTTGTATCTACAATTAACATGTTTCTTATATTTACCTCCGACATTCCTAACAGTTCCTACTATCCCACTACTAGACGGCTGTTAACACTAGAAATTGGCAAGATCGTATTCATACGTTCTGTGAACCTTGTAAACCGTTTAAACGCATGTTATAATCAGTACTACTATGGTAAAACGCATGTCAAAATTCAACACAGTTAGGAAATTTCATTTTAACCGCGAAAATAGAACTCATTGCTGGAGAGAAAAAAAATGAGTAATTTTACTACTTTCGAAAAAAGTTATTCTACAGAAAAAGTGTCCAGATCGAGGAGAGTATGTGTAGGACAATCTTGCTCAACGTGTCCGGACACGATCAAAATTACACACCTGTCTGCATCATGTTATATTTGTATCTTGACCGAGAGCAGGGCACATCAGTAATCTCTCTAGGCCATCGTCAAATATTTCTTTTGAACCAGGTACTTGATAAGTCACAATTCTGTCTGGAACAAACACACATATGTCACATATTTGTTTGGACCGAAACCACGAATTTCACAAATTTGTCTGGACCAAAAAGCATACACGGCATAGCTCTGTTCGGATCATCATCACAACCTAGAACCAGACACCGCGTACGCGTCACAAATTTGTCTGACTCGAAACCATGCAAGTCATAAAATCCTTTGTCTGGACCAAAAAAATACAAGTCACCAATATGTCTGGACCAGAACTGATTCAATTTCATCAAATCTGTCTGGATCATCATCTTGACCGAGAACTAGGCAATTCAAAAAAATATGTCTGGACCGAAAATATCATTCGTCACAAATGTGTCTGGACTGAGAAACGGATACGCCATAAAGCTGTCTGAATCAACGTCATAAATATGTCTGGACCGGAAATGTCATACGTCACAAATCTGTCTGGACTGAGAACCGGATACGCCATAAATCTGTCTGAATCAACGTCATAAATATGTCTGGACCGGAAATGTCATACGTCACAAATCCGTCTGGACTGAGAACCGGATACGCCACAAATCAGTCTGGATCAACATCATAAATATTTCTTGACTTTCATCTATCTTACCGGACAGAGAACTACACATCATACGCATGTCAGTACATGTTCCAGATCCGGACATTACTCATAACTCTATACTTATTAGATCTAACAAATACGCATCCGTTTTTATTCTCCCTACTGGTTTCAGATTTAACATAAGTCGAGAATCGTCACCAATCTCACTATAGCTCTTTCGAAGTTAAGTTGGTGTTGCAGTATGTTCTAATAGCAGACTTGTCTTACGCTTAAATTTCTTTGTGCAATAGCCTTTGGTTGTTTGTATTCGCGATACCTAGTGTGATTTTTATACTAGAATTTGATATATACAGAATTCAATTCTGACTTCTCTGTTTTGTGTGTGTTTCTGACATTCGTGCACTTTTTAAAAAAAAATGGATGTTTTTTACCAGTCTGATAATAGACGAAACATGGCAAGCTCGGCATGAAGTTAGATGATTGGATTCGAAACCAAATGCGATCGTGATTCTTTCAAATGTGAAATATGGATCAGAGCAGCGATTCTTCCTTCTGTCCCCGCCCTGCATGTGCGTGACTTGATAGTATTCCATGCCCGTAATGTGATAGAAATCGTTAGTATTAAATGAAGTGCTAGGATAGACTCGTTTTGAGCACAGGAAGGTTGCTGGGACCCTAGTAAGGCCGTCGTTATTCTTGATCACAATGGCTTTCTCACTGTGCCATACAACGGAAATTTTGGCTGACTCTCAAAATCGAGGACTCTGACTGGAAAATGTATTTCACAAAGCAATATGTCTTTTTGCTCCTCAGACATTAAAGATCGTTACCCATGGGAGGTAACCGCGTAATTGTTTCATTATATTCGAAATGGAGTTGGCAGGCGAAATGTGATGACTGATGGCATAGCACCCTGGGTTGGATAGCAAACGACTCAACGCTGTCGCACCTCTCTCCTGACACGTTTGTAGACTCCATATTTCAATTGATTACATAATAAAGTTAGCAAAATGTGGTCCTCCAAAGAATCACGCGCTAATTTGTTGTTTACCCCGCCATCTTGGCGTGACTTATTTGAGCTTTCACTTGAACAGCGTTGACTGATATAGACATGTGCTGATTGGACCTTAAGGACCAATTGTATGAACACGCTGGGCTCGGGCAACCTATACACGTGCGCGGAATGTTGCCTGCCCCCCCCCCCTCCACCCCNTCAGTGGCGGATCCAGAAGGGTCTGTCTGGAATGCAAAAACAAAAAAACAAAAACAAACGAACAAACAAACAAACAAAAAAAAGCCTAAACCCGAGAATTAAAAAACCACGTGTATTTCCCATCCTAATTTTATTCCATTCGGAACCCCTCTAACTAGAAATTTGGAAACCTGCCAAGATTGGTCTCTGGATCTGCCACTGAATTATGTGCATGTATGGGATATTATAGCATTGACCAATCAATGTGCAGTATTACTGCCGATCATAGATTGTATTGTCAGCGAAAATGAGGGATGACTTTTTTTCTAAATTTCTTAATTTTTGGTAACATTAAATTGTAGACAAAAACAGTAGGACTTTAACCTCTTGTGGTGGTAGTTGTAATTGCATTGTATGCGAGTCACATTTTGTAAATATATATATATATATAAATATATAAGATTGTTTGTCAATAATACTTTGAACGTTGTAAATACACATCAATTAGCACTATACACATTTTATTCCTGTCTAGTTGCCACGTGATGCTGCAATCGGTCTAAAGATCAAGCAAATTGTGAGTTTCTGCTTTGAGAACACGTGTTGTTTTCTTTTGAATATTTTCTTTCAATTTCATTTTTGTCAATGTGAAAAAAATGTGTTTGTCACCACCGGTATTTGTTGATCAGCAAACCATCAACGCGTGGAGAATTATCGCGTTTTCAGTCGTTAGAGACAAAAATTGTAGCTGTATAGAGATAACTTATATGTATCCATCTTTTCCAGCATCTGACTTGTACATACCTGAAAAGACTGCGTCCTAAGAACGGTGAAGTAAATAACACGGACGCTTCTGATTGGATGATTATCAGGATAAAAGTACCACGACTTTTGCCGTCATTGATTTTGTATATAACCATTATTAATTTAATTTTACGTGTGTTGATCAAATAACAATTATTACTGCCAAAAGTCCATTTTAAATTCAAGGGAATTATATATATATATATATATATATATATATGTACAGTGTTTTCATGTACAAGCTTTCAACCGCTATGAAGTATTTTCTCCAAGATGACCATAGACATTGTGTCAGACGCACGGGCGATCTGTTCAAGACACGACGGAGTAGTTCACGAAACTGTTTATGATGATGCAAGGACGGGGTTTACGAGACATGAACTTTCACCTCCTTATATTCTAATGAAGACTTATCGTGATTGAGATTAAGTTATTCAAACAATTATATATGTATATATAAACATTTACATAATATGTATGATATACATTAATGAATTATCGGGTGTTGTAATGTATTTTAGAGATATATTCTTTTACGTTGCTGCTGGTGAAAAACTGTTGTAATATAGTATTGTAGAATTATTTGCGAGAGGTAAAGCTACAATTTTAGGCGCACATAATCACATTGCCCTTACATCATATCCTTTGAGTGGGCGCATGGAAGGCGCAAATGGGCGCACGTAAGGTGCACAGGCGCCCGGATTATATCGACCGTTGCCAGATCTAGAGGAGGCAGCGCAGATAACTTGACAACGAATACCCTGTATTGGAGTAATGAAATTGTAGGGTGAGGCCACCGGGACCCGAGGACCCGGGGCAAGTTCACCAACTGTATACCTAAATATAGAAATTACCCCCCTACTGCCGATTTAAGTGTTACTTTATCGTTGCAATTAACCATTGTCTTTATATGTAAGTGTGAACCGGTGCCAAAATACAAATAGCTGCGGATAACCTCCTCAATTAAACAATTATTCATATCCTCTGTAATTCTAAAACATAATTACAAAAGATATATTTCTTTTAATGGTAAGGGTACCCTCAAGCTAAAACATATGTACATATTTCTACTTTATTTACTACATGAATTCATGTTGTTAAATTGACTATATATCCCGTTTTTACCGTGACTTAGCTGTCCAGGGAGTTAGTCCTCTATCAGCCGAGTGTTAGTCCGAAAACTGAAATACTCCTGCAGACTAACTCTTGTGGCAGTTTCCGGGGGTGTATGAACATCAACACGTCTTTGGAAAAAAACGGTTAAATATTGCTTTTAAAAATATCCGTGCATTTTTCATCTGTATTATAATTCAAATTAAGTATGATTTTTTTGGAAATAGTAAGATTCTGGTTCCCCTGCCCGAGGGTTGGTTTTCTTCGCTCCTCGGGTAATGAAATTGATACCGGGGAAAAGGAGAGATACTTGTAAGATTCTTGGGAAGGGTTGTCATTTAAACATTGAAATCTTTTATAGAAATGTGGGAACTGAACCAAAAAGATCGATTTCGCTGTTTTATCTTTTATATAAATGGGAAATACACTTAAGGTCGAAAAACGCTCTAAGTGGAATTCTTTTTCACTTAAACAAGTACTGCAGCGGTAACCTTTACCTTGAAAAAATAAACTGAAAATCATTTTATTACGGACGTATATATATATACGGTACTAGTTGTTTTTCATGGATTTAAACAGAACATGTCTAGATAACTATTTCTAACCCGAAGCGAGCTACTGTTCGTATATTCAAAATGGCTACTTATTCTTTTGAACACAGTATTTTTTTGTACATAGGCACCCAGGCAAATTACTGAAACGGCTACATTAACGAGGAAAGCTTAGCAGCACTTTTAATATCCGTGTATAAGTTGATGGGTTGTCTAATGACTTAACTATTAGAGAGTTTCTTCATCTTCGGCAACTAAAGCATCAGCCGAAACTATATGATGCTTGAACAAAATATCACTTTTCACTATGCAGATGTCATAACCCTGTATGTTATTTTTGTGCAGGTATTTATACCAAGTTTTGATCCGCTAGTACTTGCACCGCTGTTTGTCTGTTACGTATATAACTTTCCCTCGCAATATCCACAATGTCATACCATATAAGAAGTCAACGAATAAAGACACATCACTTGTTCTTGTTCTGCGTCATTTTTTTTTTTTTTTTAACTCTTTTGTGTTTTTTGTTTTTTTATATTAGTGTACACTGACGTACTGCCTGTCTCCGAATGAAAACTTTCCGGATTCCGCCACCCGGCATATCGGGTTTTTTTTATAATCTAGCCCGAGTGTCAATTTCCCACTCCGTAAAATGAATGCTAATTAATCTTTATTTTATTCTCTATGGCGTGCATATATTCGAACGAAGTAATAGTTTATCCACTTCGTTCATGTTCGGAATAAGTCGGAGCTTAGATCGGAGAACAATTGAAATAAACGGACATATCGGTACTTCCGATACACATACATGTATATATGTATATTTTGGCGGATTTGGCCTAAGAGTTAATGCTCCAGCTTTTCATAGCATTCAATATTCTAAGAATGAATTCTTTTATGGCCATGAAACTTCAACAACATAGATGGAATATAATATGGTATTGTATGAGTATTGCAGTGTCTGTGCTGTGGCACTCTATGGCGCTAAGACCAAAAATGCCATTTGAAGTACCGCTCCTGCGAATTTTTATTATATTGATTGTATGAATTTAATATTCGAATTCTGTTAAGTGCATTAGAATGACTTATTATTAACTTGATAGGGCACATTTCTATTTTTATCTTTATATTTCTTTCGGACAAAGTCGCTATTCATTTGAGGGATGGATATTCCCGTGGTTTATTTCCATGGTCACCTCATTAAGCTCAGACTAACTCCAAACTTGTTGTGGGGAAAAAAACATTTGTCTCATTTCCACGTCAATGGGAAAATCTTGAATTAGAACATATTGCTAGTGGAATTATTGTGAATTTAAAGTCTACACAAACAAAATAAACACCACACATGCAGTCCCGATATGAACGGTCTCTCTACCATCACATTTGATCTTTCTGTAAGTATTGCTGTGGATATATGTCTGGGGTTTAGAAAAAAATCTATCCTAGTTATGGAAAATAACTTGGTTATACGAACCGCTTAGCCTAGACTGCTCTGCCACCAGAATATCCGAGGGATTCCATATTGGAACTTCTATTTCCGAAGTGTATAGAAGATAAAAACCCATATTAGACCTTCACGGAAACTTCTGACGCATCCTGTAATTTCGCCTTCCCGAATTTTTCTTAGAACGATCAATAAAAATGTATAACGATAATAACGAGGGTTGAAAGACATGAACGACCTATCCCGATAGCTTCGAAAAATCTCTATCGATATTTTCCTGACGAAGATTGGAACAGATAAAGACCCAAAAGGAAAAAACTATAAGAGACGAAAAACATCCAGCATGTATAGGAAATGCAGACTTGGAGAGAAGTAGTACACGTACATTTCTACCAAGGCATTGCAAGATTTTTCTCCTCTCAACTTGCACATGGTGCATTCCTTTTTGCTTCGGTATCTTTTGTGTAAAGTTTAAAATGACAATGTTTCAAGATATGCGAAATGCTAACGAAATAAAACGTACACCACTGCAAAACGGCTGTGTATATCTTTGATATTGAAGAACTATTCGTAATAATACAGAAAACAGCTTTTCATCAATCGTCTTTTGTTTTAGTATTTAATCTTCATTTCTGACTGAAGAAATTGGACAATTTAGCCCAATCAAAGGCAGAAAACAAACCAGAATCTCAAAAAAAAACCTAATAGCAAAACATTACTAAATGAACAAACGCACAAAATAAACACAAAAAAATAGAACAGTACAAAATAAATAAAAACAAACCAATATAAAACGGTGAAAAAAATAGAACAGAAAAAACCAGAAGATTACAGATGGATACATTTGTGGCAAAGGAACTCTTCAGTCATTAAACTGTCCGTATCTCTGTATTTTGCGGAATTTCCGAGATAAGACGAGGCACGGAAACGTTAACCTCCGGAACACCTTTCACTGGACACGAAACCAACGACGAACCTGAGTGACCTTACATTTGTACCTTACAAGTCTGTTAACGACTTCCGAATGACCTAGTTAGACAAGGAGAAAGAAAAACAGCCTTAAGACGACCTACAACTCACGTGGTGTAAGCCGTATATCCATCAGTGTGATCCCCTCGACATGTGCAAGAAAGGGCAAATCTAATAAACAAAACAAAACACACACAAAATCTAACAAGCTTACAAAACAATACCAAAACACACGTAAAAAAAAAATACAAACAAAATATAACACAAATTAACAAACAAAAATACAAAATAACGAACCAAAATAAAGCAGGATTGAAACAAACCAAACTAAAACAAACAAACAAAAAATAAAAAATAAATAGTCATTGGTTTGTGTGAGAAAATTACGTCGCTTTCTCAAAAATTGATGACGATACTGTCAAAAACAAATGACGTAACAATCAATACCTGTTCACAAGAGAAGATAACTCTGCAATACGCAAAGATGAATTACCATCTACAGTATTCGGTATACAGTTGGTACCATGTTGGTGCATATCAAAAACATCCTATACGAAAAAAGTACAATATTTTGACACGACGTGTATGCAAAACACTGATAAATACCCATAGACACTGGGTATGCCTGTGTCCTTATGGAGATTCATCACGTCGCCGAGCGAAGCTGCCAGTCTGCTCTGCTACACTATTCCCCTTGTTCGACCAAAATGGCATTTATCTCTCAAGCGCCCAATAATGGGGAGACAAGTAGCGGGCCGGCACGTCATGGGCTCGAACACACAAAATATGAGGCTCCCTTGGGATCCATACTTTTGGAATAAACACATCATTCATCGTGAATTTATATGTACTTACAATGTTCTACTATAACCATTCTGGATAGGTCTAACAATGAGGGATGATTATGTACTAGCTGTTCGCTTTTCACAGACTGCATGCATGCACATAAAAGGTTAAGGAGACGTGCTACCTATATCTGTAGAATTATCTTCATCCCAAAAGAGTTCTACACAAAGAAATATGTCAAAAGTCTTTATAAAGGGTTAATTGGACATGGCCAATTGACTTATGACGGTATCAGTCGAATGTCACGCAAGAACGCATAAACCGA